CTTCCCTCATTTTCTCTTTTCTCTAACCCTCCTCTGGTGCTGGGTCCTCGTTTTGAAGAGACAGCGCCTCGCGTTCCTCATCATTCCTCATCTTTCCCCTCCTCCCTTCCCCGCCTCTGCTCTCCGCGTGTCTTTGCTTCGGCGCACACCTCACACGTCTAGTTGCCCCATAGGGAGCTCCACCTAAGGCCCACACACCCTGTATCGCATACCTTTCCCACGCCATTTCGGGGCACTGCTCACACGTTTTGTGGGCTCGTAGGGAGCTCCACCTCAGGCCCAAACATGCTGGTTCGCATATCGGCACCCTCCTCACAAGTTTCGTGGCCCCATGGGGAGCTCCACCTCAGGCCCCAGTAGCAGGACTCGCATACGTGACCGCGCCCATTTCGGCACACTCCTCATACGTTTCGTGGCTCCATATGGAGCTCCACCTGAGGGTCCAGTGGCTGCGTCCATAGGGAACCCCTCCTAAGGGTCCAGTGGCTGCGTTCGCATGCCCTCTCCACACCATTTCGGCGCACCCCTAGTGTCTTGTGGCCCCATAGGGAGCCCCACCGAAGGCCCCAGTGGCAGGAATCGCATACGTAATCGCGCTCATTTCAGCACACCCTTCACACGTTTCGTGGCCCCAGAGGGGCTCCACCGAAGGCCCCAGTGGCAGGAATCGCATACGTGATCGCGCCCATTTCAGCACACCCTTCACACGTTTCGTGGCCCCAGAGGGGCTCCACCGAAGGCCCCAGTGGCAGGACTCGCATACGTGATCGCGCCCATTTCAGCACACCCTTCACACGTTTCGTGGCCCCAGAGAGACTCCACCGAATGCCCCAGTGGCAGGACTCGCATACGTGATCGCGCCCATTTCGGCACGCTGCTCACACGTTCTCGTGGCCCCATAGGGAGCTCCACACAAGGCCCCGCCGCATGCTGTCCTCTGGAGCCTCGCCGACAGACGCGCAGATCAGCTGTAATGGTTTACACACGCAACCCGTTGCGGCCGACCTCTGCGACCCCATCAGCAGCGTCGCCCCGTCCTTCCCACGCACGCCTTAGTCCTTTTGCCAGCGGCGGCACTCGCAACTACATATGGTGGGGTCTCAGAGCGCCCCAAGGTGTGCATCTTTTTGTCATCCTTCCCCAAACGAGAATCATTCCGTGAGCCTTGTGCGCGGGAGGATCGGGGATGGGGGTTGCAGGGGGGTGATACAAGATGTGCGCAGTATCTTTTATTCCCAACCATCCTGTGGTGTTGGGTCTTCGTTTTGAAGAGACGGTGCCCCGCGTTCTCCTCTCCTCTCCTCTCCTCTCCTCTCCTCTCCTCTCCTCTCCTCTCCTCTTCCCCCTCCTCCCTCCTCCCTCCTCCATTTCGGCACACCCCTCACACGTTTCGTGGCCCCATAGGGAGCCCCACCCAAGGCACCAGTGCTGCCGCCCGCATGCGTCACCCACACCCAATTCGGCACACCCCTCACACGTTTCGTGGCCCCATAGGGAGCCCCACCGAAGGCACCAGTGCTGCCGCCCGCATGCGTCACCCACACCCAATTCGGCACACCCTTCACACGTTTCGTGGCCCCATAGGGAGCCCCACCGAAGGCAACAGTGCTGCCGCCCGCATGCGTCACCCACGCCCAATTCGGCACACCCTCACACGTTTCGTGGCCCCATAGGGAGCCCCACCGAAGGCCCCAGGCTGCCGCCCGCATGCGTCCCGCACACCCAATTCGGCACACCCCTCACACGTTCGTGGCTCCATAGGGAGCCCCACCGAAGGCCCCAGTGCTGCCGCCCGCATGCGTCCCGCACACCCAATTCGGCACACCCCTCACGCGTTTCGTGGCCCCATAGGGAGCCCCACCGAAGGCCCCAGTGCTGCCGCCCGCATGCGTCCCGCACACCCAATTCGGCACACCCCTCACACGTTTCGTGGCCCCATAGGGAGCCCCACCGAAGGCCCCAGTGCTGCCGCCCGCATGCGTCACCGCAGTTCGGCACACCCCTCACACGCTTCGTGGCCCCATAGGGAGCCCCACCGAAGGCCCCAGTGCTGCCGCCCGCATGCGTCACCCACACCCAAGCCGGCGCACCCCTCACACGTTTCGTGGCCCCATAGAGAGCCCCACCGAAGGCCCCAGTGCTGCCGCCCGCATGCGTCACCCACACCCAATTCGGCACCCCTCACACGTTTCGTGGCCCCATAGGGAGCCCCCCGAAGGCCCAGTGCTGCCGCCCGCATGCGTCCCGCAGGCACACCCCTCACACGCTTCGGGGCCCCATGCCCCACCGAAGGCCCCAGTGCTGCCGCCCGCATGCGTCACGCACACCCAATTCGGCACACCCCTCACACGTTTCGTGGCCCCATAAGGGAGCTCCGCCGAAGGCCCCAGTGCTGCCGCCCGCATGCGTCACGCACACCCAATTCGGCACACCCCTCACACGTTTCGTGGCCCCATAGGGAGCCCCACCGAAGGCCCCAGTGCTGCCGCCCGCATGCGTCCCGCACACCCAATTCGGCACACCCCTCACACGTTCGTGGCCCCATAGGGAGCCCCACCCAAGGCCCCAGTGCTGCCGCCGCATGCGTCCCCACACCCAATTCGGCACACACCCGTGGCCACACCGCTATGCACATACAGAGCCCCACCGAAGGCCCCAGTGCTGCCGCCCGCATGCGTCCCGCACACCCAATTCGGCACACCCCTCACACGTTTCGTGGCCCCATAGGGAGCCCCACCGAAGGCCCCAGTGCTGCCGCCCGCATGCGTCCCGCACACCCAATTCGGCACACCCCTCACACGTTTCGTGGCCCCATAGGGAGCCCCACCGAAGGCCCCAGTGCTGCCGCCCGCATGCGTCCCGCACACCCAATTCGGCACACCCCTCACACGTTTCGTGGCCCCATAGGGAGCCCCACCGAAGGCCCCAGTGCTGCCGCCCGCATGCGTCCCGCACACCCAATTCGGCGCACCCCTCACACGTTTTCGTGGCCCCATAGGGAGCCCCACCGAAGGCCCCATTCGCCGCCGCACCCGCACCCCAATTCGGCACACGCTTCGTGGCCCCATAGGGAGCTCCACCGAAGGCCCCAGTGCTGCCGCCCGCATGCGTCACGCACACCCAATTCGGCACACCCCTCACACGTTTCGTGGCCCCATAGGGAGCCCCACCGAAGGCCCCAGTGCTGCCGCCCGCATGCGTCACGCACACCCAATTCGGCACACCCCTCACACGTTTCGTGGCCCCATAAGGGAGCCCCACCGAAGGCCCCAGTGCTGCCGCCCGCATGCGTCCCGCACACCCAATTCGGCACACCCCTCACACGTTCGTGGCCCCATAGGGAGCCCCACCGAAGGCCCCAGTGCTGCCGCCCGCATGCGTCACGCACACCCAATTCGGCACACCCCTCACACGTTTCGTGGCCCCATAGGGAGCCCCACCGAAGGCCCCAGTGCTGCCGCCCGCATGCGTCCCGCACAACCAATTCGGCACACCCCTCACACGTTTCGTGGCCCCATAGGGAGCTCCACCGAAGGCCCCAGTGGCGGCGCTCACATGCGCATGCGTCCCGCACACCCATGTCGGCACATCCCTGACAGGTTTCGTGGCCCCATCATCCACCGGAGGCCCCAGTGGCGGCGCTCACATGCGTCACCCGCACCCACCCAATTCGGCACACCCCTCACACGTTTCGTGGCCCCATAGGGAGCTCCACCGAAGGCCCCAGCGGCCGCGCTCACATGCGTCCCCGCCACCCATCCCGTCACGCCCCTCACAACAACAGGTTTCGTGCCCCATAGGGAGCTCCACCGAAGGCCCCAGTGGCACCGCCCTCATGCGTCACCACCCGCACCCGATTCGGCACACCCCTCACACGTTTCGTGGCCCCATAGGGAGCTGCACCGAAGGCCCCAGTGGCGGCGCTCACATGCGTCCCCGCCACACATCCCAGTACACCCCGCACGCGTTTCGTGACCCCATAGGGAGCTCCACCGAAGGCCCCAGTAGCGGCGCTTACATGCGTCTCCGCCACCCATCCCGGCCCCCCCCGCAGCAACATCATGTTTCGGGGACCCATAGGGAGCTCCACTGGAGGCCCGAGTGGCGGCCCTCACATGCGTTTCCGCCACCCATGTCGGCACGCCCCGCGCGTGTTTCATGTCCCCATAGGGAGCTTCGCCGAATGCCCTAGTGGCACCCATCTCGGCACACCCCTCACACGTTCCGTAGTCCTATGGGGAGTTCCACTGAAGATGAAACCCGCAGCTGCGGTACTGACAACTGCATATGGTTGGGTTCTTCGCCAGGCTATTTTTTCCCGGAAAGGGCGTGGGCCCAGGGTTCTCTTTTAGTTTGTCAACTGTCCCCCGTGCCATGATTGAGGTGGGCCGGCGGATTCTTTTCTTGATAATGATCGGCTGATTAAACTTTGAGGATGTCTCGAGCGAAACGCTTGTTTTTTTTCAGAATTCGTTGTGAATTTCTCGAGCGAGACGCTGGTTTTGCAGAGTTGGGGGATGTCTCGAGCGAAACGCTTCTGTTTCAGAACTTGTTGAGGATGTCTCGAGCGAAACGCTGGTTTTGCAGAGTTGGGGTATCTAACATGGCGTCGGGCCCAACGCCGAATCATGCACGGGGGGCCGAAAAGCGCTACCCGAACACATGTCCCAATACAGAAAAATGATGGTTCTTGCTCTGAACAGGGAGTTGCGCTTTGGGGGCCCCTCCAGGGAAGACATTGTGAGGATATCTCGAGCGGGAGCGCGAATTCAGCGTATCCAGGTAACGTAGGGGGGTGTCTAACATGGCTGTCCCGAGCTGGAACCACGTGTTTTTTCATGCTCAGGCCACCCAGGGAGATCTCTAACATGACTGTCCCGAGCTGGAACCACGTGTTTCAACGTGTCCAGGCCACCCAGGGGTATCTAACATGGTTGTCCCGAGCTGGCACCGTGTTTTTACGAGTCCAGGCCACCAGCACGACGCTTGTCCCCCGCACGTTCTGTAGCGCATCCACTTGGCACGTCCCGCGGTGCGTCCCCGTGGCACGTCCCCTGGCACGTCGCCTGGTGCGTCCCTTGGAACGTTCCGCGGCGCGTCTTCCTGGCATGTTCCCTTGTCAATTATCTCTGGGGCAGCTACTATGTGGACTATGTGCTCAGACAGCTCGAGCTCAAGATCCAGATCAGTGCGGTCAGGACTCGGATGCAACGGAGGACTTGATCCACAACACTACAGAGCACAATCGCGGCATGGCACATCGCAGTTCAGCACGGCGCAGCACAGCATATCTCTCGACATGGTTCATCAAGATCGGTACATTCAGCCTTGCAACCTGGCACGTTCCCTGGCACGTTCCGTGGCGCGTCCCGTGGCGAGTCCCCCTGGCACGTCGCTCGGCGCGTCCCCTGGCACGTCCCGTGGCACGTCAGTGGAACGTTCTGTAGCGCGTGCCCTTGGCACGTCCCGCGGTGCGTCCCCATGGCACGTCCCCTGGCACGTCGCCCGGCGCGTCCCTTGGGACGTTCCGCGACACGACCCCCTGGCATGTCTCCCTGTCAAAGGGCTCTGGGGCAGCTACTACGTGCTCAGGCAGCTTGTGCTTAAGATCCAGATCGGTTCGGTCAGGACTCGGCTGCGAAGGAGGACTCGATCCACAACGCTATAGAGCACAATCGCGGCATGCCACATCGCAATTCAGCACGGCGCAGCACAGCACAGCCCTTGCACGGAACATCATCATCGATACATTCAGCATTGCATTTGCCCGTCGCCCAATCAGGTGTTTTTGAAACGTTGCCATGCCTTACATTTCTATATTCCTTTCCGGGTTCGTGGGTCGATCATATTCCCGGGAAGGGCTTGCCCAGGGTTCTCTTTTAGCCGCTTACCCCCGGAATCGACGGCTGTAGGGCCGGTGAAACTATTTGCGATGAATATCGAGGTCGCGTAGGGCCGGCGAACTTACTTTTTGGGTTTCTCAAGCAAAACGCTGGTTTTTTCCAGCATTTTTTTGGGATGTCTCGAGCGAAACGCTTGTTTTTGTGTTATAGATCGTTCCTCTCCTGAGGACTAGGATTCAGAGGATGTTTCAGGTGAAATGCTTGTTTTCACGTGCCCTGATCTTGAGGATGTCTCGAGCGAGACGCTTCGAGGATGTCTCGAGCGAAATGCTTGTTTTGCAGAACTCCAGCGGCCTGGGCACCCCAGGATGCCCAGGTGGTTCTGGTGGCCCCAACGCAGCGTAATTTACTAAGGAACGTGGCCCTGGGAGCGCGGACGCAGCGTAATTCACGAGGGAGCGCAGCCCTGGGAGCGTGGACGCAGCGTAGTTTACGAGGGACCGTGGCCCTGGCACGTTCCTTGGCACCTTCCGTGGCGCGTCCCGTGGCGGGCCCCCCTGGCACGTCGCGCGGCGCGTTCCCTGGCACGTCCGGTGGCGCGTCCATTGGCACGGTCCGTAGCGCGTCCCCTTGGCACGTCCTGCGGTGCGTCCCCATGGCACGTCCCCTGGCACGTCGCCTGGCGCGTCCCTTGGGACGTTCCGTAGCGCGTCCCCCTGGCCTGTCCCCCTGTCAATGGGCTCTGGGGCAGCTGCTGTGTGCTCAGGCAGCTCGATCGTAAGATCCAGATCGGTTCGGTCATGACTCGGATGCAAATGAGGGCTCGATTCACAACGCTACATAGCACAATCGTGGCATGCCACATCGCAATTCAGCACGGCGCAGCACAGCACAGCCTTTGGCACGGAACATCAAGATCGATACACTCAGCATTACAATTGCCTGTCGCCCAATCAGGTGACGTGAAAACGCTGCCATGCCTTACATTTCTATCTTCCTTTCCGGGTGCGTGGGTCGATCATGATTAATACAACCATTATATTGTTTTTGGATCGGTGCTGTGCTTCTGTCGCTCAGAATGGCGCTCTCGCCCCAGCGCGGGCCACTTTTCTGGATCCGAGTCTTCTTCCGTCCTTGTCGCCCTCCTCCTTTCCCGTCCTCCGCCTTCCCCTGGCCCTCCTGCTCCTCCTGCTCCTTCCACTCCAGCTCCTGCTGTTGTTCGTCCTCGTCCTCCCTTTTCCTCCTTTTCCTCCTGCTTTTTCCTCCTGCTCATCCTCCTGCTCATTTGCCACCTCCTCCTCCAATGTACGCAGCCCCTTTTTTTTCCGGCTGCGCATAACGCGATGGGGTCCTCTTTGCCCTCTTTGGAGTTCGAGGTTCGCTACGACACGCGTCGGCGGATAGAGAAAAACAGCGCAATGGGAATGGGGAGGGACGGGTGGGAGTGTCAGTATGTCAGATATGGCGCGAGCGCACCTAGCTTGCCCCCCCTCTCTCTTTCGTCTACCCCCTCGCTCCTCCCTTCATCTCCCCAATCCCTCCTCTTCCCTCGCTCCTCCTCCTCTCTCTCCCGCCTTGCCGACAGGAGCACCTCAGCACAGCCTGGTCGAAGTACCCAGAGCTTAAGTCGTTCATCCACTTGCACCTCGGCTTCAAGGCCTGCTCCCGCGCGCTCACCGTCGTCGTCAGCCATTCTGGCTCAAGCGAGCCTGTTTGTAGCTCAGGTTTCTGATCGGCTGGACCCTACAGTAATTACCGTCGCGCGTTCTTGTGTCACTTCTCCCTCGATCCGACCGTCACATCACTTGCTGAACCGGATCGAGATGCTGGGGGGGAGCCGTTTGTGCTTGGACCCAGCGGGATGCAAGCCGCCAGTCAAGCTGATCCCCTTCGAGGCTATCCGACTCCCGACTGGAGGACTGCCCAGCTGTATCTCCAGGTCTTGGGCAGACTGCTGTAAGTACAAATTTCTGCCGCCCTCACCCAGACCCTCATGCTTTCGTGCCTGAGAACCTCCATTTGTCCTGTATATATAACATATCTATTAATCTATGAGAATTTTGATTTCTCGGAAAGGGCGGGGGCCCATGGTTCCTGGAAAGGGCATGGGCCCAGAGTTCTCTTCTAGCAGGTTTACCCCCGGAATCGACGGGCGGAGGGCCAGCGGAATTGTTTGCGATGAGTGACGAGGTCGCGTAGGGCTGGCGGAATTGACTTTTGAGGATGTCCCTAGCGAAACGCTTGTTGTGCAGACATTGTTGATGATGTCTCGAGCGAAACGTTTTTTTGTGTGTTACATATTGTCTTCTCATGGGGACCAGAATTCAGAGGATCTCTCCTGTGAAATGCTTGCTTTCACGTGCCCAGGTCTCGAGGACGTCTCGAGCGAGACGCTTGGTTTCACGCGTCCACGTTGCCCAGGCAGATGTCTAGCATGAGGATGCGTTGAGGATGTCTCGAGGGAGACGCTTGGTTTCACACGTCCATGTTGCCCAGGCAGATGTCTAATATGAGGATGTGTTGAGGATGTGTCGAGCGCGACGCCTGGTTTCACTTGTCCAGGTCGCCCAGGTAGATGTCTAGCATGAGGAGGTGTTGACAACGTGTCGAGCGAGACGCTTGTTTTCACGTGTCCAGGTCGCCCAGGCGGATGTCTAATAGAAGATGTGTTGAGGATGTCTCGAGCGAGACGTTTGCTTTCTCGTGTCCAGGTCGCCCAGGTGGATGTCTAGCATGAGGAAGTGTTGAGAACGTCTCGAGCGAAATGCTTGTTTTCACGTGAACAGGTCACCCAGGCGGACGTCTAACATGAAGATGTATTGAGGGCATCTCGAGCGAACCACTTGTTTTCATGTGTCCAGTTCGCCCAGGCGGATATCTAGCATGAGGATGTGTTGAGGATGTGTTGAGCGAAACGCTTGTTTGTACGTGTCCAGGTCCCCAGGCGGATGTCTAGCATGAGGATTTGGGCAGGATGTCTTGAGCGAAACGCTTGTCCCCAGCACGTTCCGTAGCGCGTCCCCTTTGCACGTCCCGTTGTGCGTCCCCTGGCACGTCGCTTGGCGCGTTCCTTGGGACGTTCCGGGGCGCGTCCTCCTGGCGTGTCCCCTTGTCGATTAGCTCTCGGACAGCTACTATATGCTCAGGCAGCTCGAGCTTAAGATCCAGATCAGTTCGGTCAGGACTCGGATGCAAAGGAGGATTCGACCCACAATGCTATAAAGCACAATCGCGGCATGGCACATCGCAATTCAGCACGGCGCAGCACAGCACGGCCCTCGGCACGGTACATCAAGATCGATACACTCAGCATTGCAGCCTGGCACGTTCCCTGGCACGTTGCGTGTCGCGTCCCGTGGCGAGTCCCCCTGGCACGTCGCGCGGCGCGTCCCCTGGTGCGCCCCGTGGCACGTCCCCTGGCACGTTGCCTCCTGGCGCGTCCATTGAGTCGGTCCGCGGCGCGTCCTCCTGTCGTGTCCCCCTGTCAGTCAGTAGCTCTAGGGCAGCTACTATGTGCTCAGGCAGCTCGAGCTTAAGATCCAGATCAGTTCGGCCAGGACTCGGATGCAAAGGGGGACTCGAGCCACAACGCTATAGAGCACAATCGCGGTATGGCACATCGCAATTCAGCACGTCGGTCGCAGCACAGCACAGCCCTCGGCACGGTACGTCAAGATCGATACATTCAGCCTTGCATTTGCCCGTCGCCCAATCAGGGGTCTTTGAAACGTTGCTATGCCTTCCTTTTCTTTATTCCTTTCCGGGTCCGTGGGTCGATCATGTCTTTCAGTAGGTGTATTCCCACTCGGAATCGACTTGAAGAGGACCAGCGACATTACTCGGTGATACGTAAAAGGTCGAAGAGGTCCGGTGAATCGAGGACGCCGGCGGCGCATCACCGGCCGCTCCCTGGGAGTTTGCCGAAGATCGCGCAGCATCGAAAGTCGTGACGTGGCGCGGCCCATCCCGCCACCGTGATTGGGTTTTGGGTCGGAGTCCTCGTGGACGCTTCTTGGGGTCTCGAGAGGGCTCTCGGGGCCTCTGCGGGGGAGTTTAGGGCCTCTTGAGGGCCTCCTGGGGGCTTCTTGTGAGCCTCTTGGGGGCCTCTTGGGGCCTTTGGGGGCTCTCTTGGAGCCTCTTGGAGGCCTCCTGGGGGCCTCTAAGAGCCCCCTGGGGGCCTCTTGGGACCGAAAGCTCAAAATGTTCATTCGGGTTCCCCTTCTGAGCGCCCTCTTGGGGCCGTCCTGGGGCCTCTCTTAGGCCGTTCTGGGTGCCTCTTGGGCCGTCTTGGGGCCCTCTTGCGCCGTCTTGGAGCCCTCTTGGGGGCTTGTTGGGCCGTCCTGGGGCGATCTTGGAACCCTCTTGGGCCGTCTTGGAGCGTGGGTAAGCCGAAATGGCGAGAACGCGAAAATCCTTCAAAAACCATTGACAAATCAATGATTTTTGCATTGAAAATCAATGATTTTTGCATGTTGGGGCTCTCTTGGGGGTGCTCTTGGAGGCCTCTTGGGCCGTCTTGGAAGCGTCTTGGGCCGTCTGGAGGCTATCTTTGGCGTCTTGGAGCGATCTGGAGCCGTCTGAAGGCTCTCTTGGACTGCTCGGGACTCTCTAGGACCGGCTTGGGGCGCCCTTGGGTCGTCCCCGGGCCGTTTGAGCGTTTGAGACCTTGAAGGGGGGGGGGGCCGGCGGGGGGCCGGCGGCAGAGTGGGGCCCCCTCGGAGGGACTTTCAGGAGGTTTTTGACCAGGCACTGGAGAAGGGGGCCAAAGACTGTGCCAAACACTCTGTCAGAGAGGTCTCGCACGGCCCACACCGCAGGGCGGGAGGGCCGGATCCAAAGGCTGCCGCCTCTACCGCCGACCCCAATTGAGGCAACGTATGTTTTATTTATTTGTTGTCGGGGTGTCTTTCCAAGTACGACAGGGTTCCGTTGAGACTTCCACCACTGAGCCTCGCCGCCTGGGTTCATGATTCTCCGTTGCACTTCGGACACTCCCCTTTATCGAATGGCCTCCCGGCCACAGTGCCTAGGTTGTAGGTATTCAGCCTATTGGATGTGCGTGGGGATTTCGTTGTGGACCTTTGCGGCCAATGGGATGCAGTTTTGGAGCCTCGTCTGATCGCTGTTGGGTCCAGTGGGGTCGTCTTGGAGCCTCTTCAGGCCTCTTGGATACCTCGTGGGGCTTTCGGGGCCCTCTTGGGGGTCTCTAGGCCAGTCCTGGGGTTGCATGGGGAACCTCGGGCTGTCTAGGAGCGTCGGAAAGGAAACACGCGAGTACGCCGACATTTTTCAAACAACGACGGCAAGTCAATTCGGGTATCTTCGAGGCCTCTTGGGGCTTTCTGGAGGCCTCTTGCGCCATGATGAGGCCATGTAGGGCGTCTTGGGGCGATGTTTGGGCGTTTCGGGGCCGTCGTGGGCCTCCGTGGGCCCTGTTTTCACGTTTGGGCGCTTTTTGTGTTTTTGGACAGTCACGCGAGAAATGCGAGAAGCTCCAGGAGAAGATTTCGCGATGTGGGGTCTAGGTCTCTGAATGATTCCTCAGGAATGACGGGTGAGGTTGCGAGGGTGATGGAAGGACCTGAGGGCACGCCCACCCCGTGCCGAGAGGCACGGTGGCGGATCCACATAACCATGACAAAATGATGATCATGGTTCTGACGGATCGCACCGCATTTCTGAGCTCCCAATGGGGGAGCCGCTTGGGGGTAGTTCAAGTTGTTTTTGGTTGGCATCGTTGGGTGTGGCAGTGTATCCGGTCAGCAGTCCTTCTCCTCCTCCTCCTCTTCCTCCTCCTCTCTTCTTCCTCCTCCTCGACTGTGACTTACGCCGGGGGACCTCGGACCTGGAACTTGTGTGCGAACAGGGAACGCGATGATGGATCAGTTCGAACCCTGGCACTTCGGCGTCGCGTTCGCGTTTGTGTTCAAGTACTGCACGGGGATGCCGGATTGCCCAGAGTTCATGAAGCGTCCGCGTCATCGCCGGGGGGAAGGTGCCCCGCGAGTGGAGCTACCACTGTGGGTGCGGATCATGAGTCGTCGCTTCGAGAGCCAGCTGTGTCGCGATTGGCATTTCGGGTTCGTGTCGTGGAACCTCGTGTTCCGCTCGGCGGTGAACCAGAGCAGGACGTGGTTCACGTACGTGTCAACGGGCGCCACAGGCGAGGTGGAGCAGCTGACGCCCGAGGAGATCGCCGAAGGAGCGAAGCAGATTTATCTCGCGCCAGACGGGAAGTACGTGGACATCAACGGCAGGAAACAGAAGGTCAAGGGCGACATGGCGAAAGTGCGACACGCGCCAAGTCTGGGGAAAGCCGCCCACAAGCTTCTCACTCACATTGAGCACGCGTCGCGGCGCCTCCTAGGTACACAGGAATCTCGGCGTGTGATGAGGTTCGAGACGAACGCTCTGCGAGTCCGGTATGGCGTCCCAATCTTCGTAACTCTTGCCCGACGAAGGGCGCAATCTGCTCATGGTCCGCCTGTCGCGCACGCGACGGCAGGACCCAGTGCGCGCGGCAGCTGACAATGAAGCGCAGTCGCGGCTGGCGGGGGATCGGGAGTGGCCGCGCGTAGCCCCTGACGTAGACGAGGCGCGCCTGGATCTTCCGGTGGATGCAGGACAGGCTGGGGTGCCGACCTGGGCCGAGCGTAG